TCTGTGCCCATACGATGCTGGCATTGCTGACTGCATCCAAACACCCCCTCCCTCCCTCCTCCACCTCTCAACGCCACCTAGCCCCGCACCCACCCATCCGACACACATACACACACACGCATACGCAACATGTGCATGCACACACGCACAAACATAACACATGCATATAGATATACACACACTCAAATCCAACACAAAAACACTCACTCGGCTGTCAGGCAAAAATCGTACATACACGCAACGCGCACACTACAGCAACATACAAACCCCACGCTCTCACAACCTGCAGCCCCGCGATGCCGTCGCGCGTCCACGACTCCATGTCTTGGATCAGCAGGGGGGCGGCCACCACGTAGGGCACGTCCAGGGACCCGAGGATGGCCTTGGCCACCTCGGCCTGGCGGCCACCCTCCATGGTGCCGGCGGGGCCGCCCACCAGGGGGAAGCCTGGGGAGGAGGGGCGTTTTCGAGGAGTGTGTGTGTGTTTGTGTGTGTGTGTGTGTGTGTGTGTGTGTGTGTGTGTGCATGCGTGTGTCACGGTTGGGGGTTTCTTTAGGTGAGGCAAGCGGACAGGCCTTTGGGGCCTGCAGCAGCGGGTGAAACAAAGAGACAAAAGGGGCCATCACATGGTGCTGGCGACGCTGGCGACAGCCACTGAGAGGACGAGCGGCCCTGCACGACACTTGGAGCAGCGGGCCCTGGCGGGTGCCGGGGGCACGGATGCAACCCGGCCACGCTCACCGATGGTGGACACGAGCGCGTCGACGCGCACCGCGTCCGGCTGCAGCGTGCCGCGCGGCAGGCGGCCCTCGCTGATGGCGGCCTGCTCCGCGGCGCTGGTGAGCTGGTCTCGCACCACGGTGTGCGCCTCCACGCCGTTTATGAACACGGGGACCTGGTTCGGTTGGGTGTCGGGGGGGTGGGGGTGAGGTGTGTGTCGAGGCTGGTGAGGGTTGGAATGGTGGTGGGCTGTGCGCGCGCGCGCGCGCGTGTGTGTGTGTGTGTGTGTGTGTGTGTGTGTGTGTGTGTGTTTTTGTGTGTGACAGGGTGAGGGAGGATGAGCCTCATGCAGTGAGTGGTCTTGCAATGGCAGAAGGGAAGGTCGTGACAGCACCGACACGTGTGGCGGCCGGAGAGAAGGTGGCGAGGAGGTGCAGGGTGAGCAGGCGGCGGTCGAGGGGAACTCAAACAAAAGTCAGTCGGTGGGTTGGTTGGCTGCCTGGCTGGTTGAGTGGTCAGCTGGTTGGTTGTTTGAAAAGGTGGTATTTCGAGGAGCGGGGGGCGGAAAGTCCCAGCCGCTGGGCGAGCGGCTGCGCCTGCATCACCACCGACAGGTCAGCCTCGGGTCCGGCAAAGGACCCGTCAGGGGATGAAGCAGCGCCTGGACGGGTTCCCTCCTCAATGCTGACTCAACATCTTTGTTTGGCACCCGCCCCAAATCACAGCGACAATCTTGATACAAAAAATATATACAAATTACTGGCCACCTCGCAGCTCGAACGCGGCGCCCGTGCACCCTTCTTGGGGTGGATCGCAGGTTATTAGAGGCCCTCTGATACACCCCGAAACGGTGCGCGGATGCAAGGCCCTAAACCTCCCGCTGGCCGACGACTTGTGGCACCCACAACGGGTCAGAGGGCGTCACTGCCAGAAGCCTTCACCCCACAGCCATCCAAAACACCTGAACCCCCACCTTGCAGCTCGGGGCTGGCAACTGTACCCTTTTTATGGGGGGTAAAGCACGCCGCTGTACTTTACCCCCCAAACAGTGTACAGAGACCAGCCCTAAACCTCCCGCTGGCTGGTAAGCTGCGGGTCTGCAGCCTTCAAGACCCCAAGCCTGCACACAGTTTACGGGCTGGTCTTGCCCCGCAGCGACCGCAACAACCCCGGAAACAGGCGGAAAAGCACTCCTGCCTACTGAGAGGGACAGCGCAGCACTGGACAAACGAGACCCCACAAGCCGTGCATCCACTACCGAAAGCCTCAAACCCCACAAAACCCCCGCAGCTGCACAACACCCGCACGTGCGTGGTCGGGGCGGAGGCCACGGCGCCCTGTGCTGCCAAAATGCAGCAAGCACTCCCCCCCAATTACACAGCACACCAGGGGACCAACCCGACCCCCTCATACACCAAACCCCCAGGCCACCCACCGGGATCAACCCCTCGTCTTCCAGCTGGCTGATGAGCTGCGGTACATACGGCTGATCAGTAATCACGTGCTTGCGGTACAGCAGCACGCCCACCACCGGCGCCCCCGTCCCGCGCAGCTTCCCGTTGGCTTCGTACCACCTCATGTACTCCGCCGGCCCTGCAAAGAACCGCCCCGGCGCGTCGGGGTGCAGGCAGCCGGTGGGCGGCGTCTCCAGCGGCGGCGGCGGCGGGGGGAGGCCGGCGGGGGAGAGGTACTGCTCTGAGAGGTATGAGAACATGGCCACCACGTTTTGCAGGCCGCCCTGGTTCCAGTAGCCGTAGACGGTCAGCCAGGAGCGCAGGTCGCGGGCCTGGGGGCCGGGTTTTTTAGGGGGGGATACAGGGGATTTGTGTGGTGAGTGAAAGGTAGAGGGGGCACGGGATGGTTGGGAAGGGGGTATGGACGGGGAGGCGTGTGGCAGGCCGTGGGGGGGCGGGGCCGGCGGCGGTGGCGGCTGCGGGCGCCGCGGGCGTCGGGAGGCAGGCGAAGCGCACCTTGTTGCCGGGGACGAACTGGAGCAGCTTGGGGCCGATCTGCGGTGATGTCATCACGAGGAGAGTCGGAGGGGTTGGTGACCGACAGTGACCAACCCAATGTATAACCAAGGTTGGGTTGCAGCCCCTGTTGGCTGTGGCCCAACGCTCGCCCACCACTCGCTTACTTGGACTTGAAGCCCCCAACGAACAAAAGCGGCCGCCCACCCGCACCATCACAAGCGCTGCACGAACCCACTATCTCGAGTCACATCCGAGCGTGGCAGGCATCCGCCGCGGGCCTCCGCGCAATGCACGAAGACCCTGCTGGCCCAGGCTGCGAGCCGGGCGGCACCTGCGCACGACCTCCTGCCCCCAAAAGACGCTGTCACGCGGTTTGTGCACCGCACACACACCACACACACCACACACACCACACACACCCAAGAACACACGCGAACTCGCAAACATGCATGCACAAGCTGACATCCACTCCACCCCCCCCCCCAAACACACACCTTGAGGAATGAGAGGTACCCGACCAGCCGGTCCTCCTCCCGCCCACTGCTGAACAGCGACAGCACCTTCTTCACAGCGGGAGGGGGGCCCTTGCTCTTGCCTGGGGGTCGGACGCACGGCGACCGCAGAAAATCACGCAGGGGCACGCACACGTGGTGGGAATGAGAGAAGTTTGGGGCGAGGGGGGCGAGTGGGGCGACTGGGGCGAGTGGCGCGAGCCGGGCGTGTCGGGCGTGTGGGGC